CGAAGAAGAGAGATATAGTAGAGTAGAGATAGAGCATATAGTATAGATATAATATACTAAGATATATATATATGATATATATATTATATATATTATATATGTACTAAAGTAATTATTGTGGTTTCTATATCATATAATTTATATTACATTCTAGATATTGTTCGTATCTTTCTTTTATTGAGTGACCAGAAAAATCTAATTTATATAAGTAGAATTTCCAACGAAGCAGGAAATCATATAAACTATTTACAGAATGTGAGTTGAAACTTTCCAAAATCTATGTTTATTCAAAATAATACTTACCCTTTTAGAGTTTTATTTCATCACTAATGAATGACATTTTTGTGTACTTTTACCTAATTTCACAACAGTTTTTATTTGTAAAATAATCATTAAGGAAATGCAAATTTTATAAATAAATATTTATACTATTTTATTGTTATAAAGTAATCGAGGTAATATTTAAGACCATTTACGTTTTATGAGAATTTTAAGTTATGAAACAAGAGGACTTGGTTAAAAAATGGAATGTAGTATGTATGGTATTGTGTTAAGATTGGGTGTTTTTTGTTCAATTACAAAATAGGATTATTTGAAATAAAGTTAATATTCAACAAGTCGTTCTGACTAAGTTTTGAATTAATTATGAAATAACACAAGTAGATATTTTAATAAAACAGTTGATAATCAGTAGAATTATAATAATTTGTAACAAAAAACAGTTGTCTCTTCCCACTTTTGGTTTTTAGTTTAATATATTTATATATATGTATTTGAAAACATCAGACAGCACATGTTGACCTCTGGAAATGTTGAAGTGTGATTGGCTCCCGTATTAACATTTGGCACCTTCCATATTCTTCTCTCGTGTAAGGTTGTGTGAATCTTTTCAAATGAAGAAGTAAAATAATAAAAAATTAAAAAATAGTTTTTATACCTCAAAATTCTTTATATTATCAATATTCAGAGATGAAAACAGCTAACACAACCAAGGTATCCAAATAACAAACTTCTACATAAAAAATAATTAAGAAGAAAAATTGACTATGAATTCTGTAATTTTTTATATTGAAAAAATATATGAAATTTGGAACTGTTTGTTTTTTTAAAATTATTATGTTAATTTTTTTTCTTTGGAAATACAAAGAAATCTATATCTTAATACAAAACACATATCCGATTGAAGTATTTTAGTAAATCAATTAAGCCGTTGACTTTCTCTCATTGAAGAACCACTGAAACATAGTAAAAGAAACAATCAAATAAGCTTTATTTTAGAGCAACAAATAATTGTAGCTAGGTTTGTCACTATGCCATGATACTAAGAACAATTCAGCTAATTTTGTTGGCGACTTTGTATTATGCAGTGCATTAAACACATGGTCAAAGTAATTTTTTTTGTATATAATATTAATTATGGATATAACATTAACTTCACTACCAAAACCAGCTTCTAACTTCCATCTAATCAGATCCAAAATTTACTAACTTTGTCAACAAAATCCAGACCGTCATTGTTTTATTAGTTCTAAGTTAAACATCAAAACAATTCAATTTTAATTTTAATATGATGTAGTCTTTGAACTTTAAAACTAATTATTTTTTTCTCAAGTTTAAAATATTTTGTTAGTTTTTATAATTTAAAAATGTTATTTGATTTTGTTTGTCTTTGGTACCATTAAAAAGATTTGTTATTTATACCTACAAATCATTTTATTACAAGAATTTTTGTATTTACTGATACTTTTTTATTGAAAGAAATAAATTTACGATAAATTCAAATTTATTCACAGAGATAAGTTTTAGAATTTAAGTTACTAATAAATATTTTTATTAGTAAGATATCTTGATAAATTATTATTCGTATTATTGATAAATATTTTTGTCGATAATATATTTAATAGTAAATTTTGTTGATAATTTTGTAATTTTTATTATTAATAAAATAATTCAATTAATTCATTGATAAAATAAGTAATAAAGTTTCCGTGAAATGTAATGAGACTTTTTCATTATCAAGGAGAGACAGGTGAGAAAATAAGAGATTGAGGAGGAGAAAAGAGGTGAAGAAAGAAGAATAAGAGAAAAAAAAATTAGAAGATGAAGAAAAGAAAAAAGAAAGAAAAAAATAGAGAATAAAAATAAAGAAATTCAAATTCATAATATTTATTAAAAGTATTTACCGATGATAATTATTAACAAATTTTACTATTCCTAAATAAATTTATTGATAAATTTTTCACTGTTAATAAACTTAAATTATGGACACATTTTTTTCTATTATGAACTATTGTGTTGGTTAATAATACATAATTATAATTATAGTGTTATAACTTATTTCAATTTTATATTTAATGATATATAATAGAATTTTGTGTGCAAGACTTAATCAATTACAAATACTAATTCAAAACGTAAAAATTTTCTTTCATAGACACTATTTTATATATATTGTTGATATAGGATCCAATCTTGTTTTTTATTATTATTTCTTGAAGTGGCTCCATCAATCTTCAGTACCAAAAATATAATTTTCATGCGATCATATTTTGCATGTATTGAGAATACATCCACTGGCATCTTTCCAAAAAAGCTCACTGCTACTTCTTTTGTCTTTGTTCTTTAATACTTGTATTTTTGCACCCAGTTGCAAACCTCACTCTTTCCTTTATTTATCTATTATTCATTACAACTAATAGCATTAATTAATTTTTTTCTCTCTTCATTAACCAATTTCACTTACTTTTTTGTTTTTGACAATTTTATTACACTATAATATTTCTATTTAAAATAATAAGTAAAACGTGTAAAAATATTAAAAATCAATTGAAATGATTTATAATAAGTATGTAAGGTTCTAAATTTTAGAATAGTAAGTGGAAGCTTGGTGTGCAAATTCCCAGAGTAAAAGTGAGTGGTCAGTGATAAAGAAAAGAAATGTTGGTGGTGGTGTCAGTCAGTTGTATGTGAGTAGGTAAATATGTTCTCCAAATTTCTCTTTTACACATAACCACATAACTTTGCTTTTTCAGTTTCTCTTTATTAAGCATTGGGAATATTTTTGTTTATCATAAATTGTAAATTTCTTAAATGTNTTTTATTACACTATAATATTTCTATTTAAAATAATAAGTAAAACGTGTAAAAATATTAAAAATCAATTGAAATGATTTATAATAAGTATGTAAGGTTCTAAATTTTAGAATAGTAAGTGGAAGCTTGGTGTGCAAATTCCCAGAGTAAAAGTGAGTGGTCAGTGATAAAGAAAAGAAATGTTGGTGGTGGTGTCAGTCAGTTGTATGTGAGTAGGTAAATATGTTCTCCAAATTTCTCTTTTACACATAACCACATAACTTTGCTTTTTCAGTTTCTCTTTATTAAGCATTGGGAATATTTTTGTTTATCATAAATTGTAAATTTCTTAAATGTGAAAAGAGATGCAAAGTTTGTAACTTCCATAAACGTTAATGGATGATAAAATATATTAGAGAGTTACTTATCAATGGTTGAGAGTGAGCAGAAACTTTGAAGAGCATGACAATGAGACAACAATGGCAGCAATGATGGATGACTCCAACATCTTTATGTGATGTGGTGGACCAAACTGGGATGTTGACATCATAGTTATACCAGTATATGTTTGTGTTGACACCTATGGATTTAGTTTTGAAACATACAAAACAAAAGAAAAAGATAAAATTTGCATGTCTACCATTTTTTTGTTTCAGTTTTTTCGTGAAAGCTATGCACAAACATGGGAACACTTTTTATGTTAATCCATTTTATAATATCCGTGAATCTGCATTTCTAGCATTGGTGATCATGATACCTAAATAAAATATAATATTATTCCTAAAAGTTACTTCCAAACAAAACAAAATAAACTTATCTAAAACAAGGAATTTACTTACAAGGATACTATAAATAATGTTAATCATTGATGGAAAAAATAGTTAAGAATATCACGTGTACATACATACAATTCGTGAACTATGTGGAATATTCGACCAGTTTGGTTTAGATTGATCTTAAAACTGTTACTGATTAAAATGTAATCCATTATTGCCATTACTAAGGTTTTGGGCATTGCCCAGAATAGTTTCATGGGTGTGAAGTGTGTGAAAGGGTACAAATCAAAACACATTCATAGTGGTAACCCTAGATGCAATTTCTCTCTCAGACAGTTTGTCAAATAGCTTTTGAGCAAAGACTGCTGTAAGAAAAGCACATGTTAATCGTCAAATTATAACTATATAAGGCATTTTGTCAAACAATTCTTAAGCATCTCCAATGGTCAGTGAGTCTGAGATGTTGGTATTGATCATCAACAACAACTTCAACAATTTGAAATGACAAATTACATATGCATGCATTCTTGTATTGACTCATCGAATAAGAAAACATGTGTGTTTAAAATTTATCTAAATAAATAAATAATCTTTATTCTGGTAATATATTATTTTATTTTTTAAATAGAAACCCTATTGCCCCGACGATGTCAAAATTCAAAATGCAAACGCATAAAGTATTTAGCAAGTAAACAACCCCCAATATGTTTATGCTATCATGACTTTGTATAAGAAGACGCATAATTGAAGCAACATTTTCTCCATTGCAAAGTTAACCAACACTAAAGTTGTGGAGGAATTAGTAAACGTGCATTCTCAAATATGATTGGACATCATTTATAGGTAATATTTTTCTTAAACATGTGATTAGATGGAATTCAAATAAGCTAAGTATTTTGAGAGATTCTTAGAAAAAAGTTTGAATATTTTGGATCTTAGGAAATGGTAATTGAACGAAAAAAAGTAAATTTGCATTAGAATTTTGTAAGAATCCAATGGATGAAAAAAAAGGCCCTCTATTGAGAAGTGATTGCTGCATCAGTGGGAATCAGAGCAGAGAGAGCAGAGAAGAAGAGAAGAGCGTCATAAACTTTTACCTCACACTTCGATTCTAACCCACCAAGTTGCGGTTTTAGATTTTGGTTTCTGTCTCAAACTGCTGCTACTTCTACTATTCTCGCTTCCCTATGCACAAATTAGGCAACTCAGCAAAGGGGATTCCTCCTACGACGTCGTTTCGTGCCTACTCGTTTCGGTTTTTGGACACAATTATTTGGTCGTTTCTCCTCGTTGGCATAGAACCAGTACACTACAACCTTGGAAAATGATCCCGTGTTTTTCTCGTACACTCTTTTAATCCCTCACTCTTTCTCTTTGAAGCCCAAACACACAAATTAATCAGGATGTTTCAGTAATTTTCCATGATAATTCCAGCTTTCAGAGTTTAACCTCCCCAGATTCTTAGATTCCCAGAGGAAATTTTGTCCGCGCTGTGATTCTTAATTAATTACCCCTTCTTCCTTTTTTCCTTGTCTTTGGTGCTTGGATTCTTAGAAAAATACTAAGAAAACCCAAAAGAAGATGCAGCAGCAGCTGCAGCGCCAAAAGAAAAAGCGAGAAAAAGAGTTTCTCTTTCTCTTTTGAGTCTTCTCTCTCTCTTTCTCTCTCTCACACACACAGACACACACTATCTGAGCCTATTGCTTTCACTTTGTGAAAGAAAGCGTTGTTTGTTTAACGACATCACCACCTTCGACCCTTCCCTTTCTAACGTTGTTGTTTCCAAGAAGCCAAGCATTCACTTTAGGGAGAAACAAACACCCTCTTTTATATGCTTTCTTCTCATTTCGTTTCTCATGTGCTTCAACGTTTATTCTTCTCGGCTGCTGTTGATGCTCTTTGCCTAGTCCCTTTTCCGTCAACGTTTCTTCATGTCGGACTCCGCCAAGGTGCGATTGGTGCGTTGCCCAAAGTGTCAAAACCTTCTTCCCGAACTCGCCGATTACTCTGTTTATCAATGTGGTGGTTGTGGTGCGGTTCTTCGAGGTAGCTTTTCCCCCCCTCTCTTGTGTTGTCACATTGGTTTTGTTTTTACTTTTTGATTTTGACGTGTTTCCGAATTTCTTTAATAAAATTAAGACATTCTCATTAGACAAATTTTGGTTGAAATTTGCAGTTTTATATTTTACTTCATTGTTAGTAAACGATCTCGTACTTTCAATCAGTTTTTGTTTGCGTCTTACCTGCGGCAGAGTATCATGATCTTATATTTTGCAGTCGGAAAGAAATTGGAAACGGGTTAGGCTTTCTAGTTTCTAATTTTAGTTGCGTTTGATTTTAATTTGCAGCAAAGCATAAGGGTTATGTGAGTGGTAGCTTGTCGGATGACGGGAAGGTTGGAGTTGGTGGAGATTCTGGTAAATCGGAAAGTTTATTGGAGAAGGGCTTAGTGGATCGCAGTGATGCTTCGGACATTGATGCTAAGTCCAGTAGTGGTCCCTCAAGGAACGAAATTCAAAGGGAAGTGGATAAAGTAGATAACATGGAGGAGAAATTTCTGAATCAACCTGAGGGTATTATTGAGAAAGGGGTATTTGATGATGGTGTTGATGTCAATGGTAGTAAAGATGAAGTGGGTAAATCAATAGGAAGAGAACAGGAGGAACCACACAAGTCTCGAATTAGCCGTGAGAATGGGTCTAAATTCTCTGGGAGAATTTCTAATATGCAGAATGGAGAGAGAGGTGAGATGGAGGGGTTTTGGAGAAAGCCACGAACTGAGATGGAAAGTGTGAGATTTTCCACTTCGAAGTATCCTGATGAAGGACCTTCGAATGGCTTTTCTAGTAATTATATGGGATCGTGGAGGCATCGCAATGAAGCAGATGGTGCAGACATGGTTCAGCACCTTGAGCAGGATCGAGCTGAGCTTCTAAGGAAGCTAGATGAGTTGAAGGTCCACCTCAGTAAGTCTTCTGAATTGGTAAACAACCAAAAGGAAAAGATTATTCCTGATGAAAGGACGATTCCTCCGGATCCTCATCCCTATGGTGGCTCCGATCCTTGGTTTTCAGATGGATCATCTGGGTTGAACAGAACTTCAAGGCAATTTTATGGCACTGATAAGCACGTGGCAGGCTCCACTCATTTCAATCATCATCATCATGATTCGTATCCTTATGCCAGGGGTCATGACATGGCTATGCCCAACATCCCTCCTTCAATGCATAATCCAAATCGATATGGGGATCCTTTTGCATCCCAAATGCTGAGGGGAGGTCAACACCAGTTCCCAAAACAACCATTGCATTCCTACTATCCTGGACGGTATGTTGATACTAATCCAGATTCATATGAACTATACTCACATAATAATTCAATGCTTCATCCACCTTCTTGCTCTTGTTTCCATTGTTATGATAACAAACGAAGAGGTTCGGTGCCAGCACCATCTTCATTCATTAACAGCAGATTCCCTGATATTCCAAATGATCCAATGTTATACCATCATGACCTCCCAGGGGCATTTGGTCCCCAAGTTCATAATTCTAGAACAGCCATTCCTCCTGGGACTTATCGTGAAAGCCAATTACATGCAAGATGGGGCAGTGATTTCAACTCTGAGATGGGTAGTTTTGTTCGAACTCGTCCTCGCAAAGTAATGTTAGCTACTAGTAGCCAGCGTTGCTATCCTATAGCTGGCGGTTCACCCTTCATCTCATGTCATAATTGCTCTGAGTTGCTGTTACTGCCTAAAAAAGCATTGGTTCTGGTGAAAAATCGTCGGCAGAAAGTGCAATGTGGAGCTTGTTCCTCAGAAATAAGCTTTTCTGTCATCAATAACAAGCTGATTATTTCTCCTAATTTAGAAACAAAGGGAGTTCCCTCTAGAGGTGATAACAGCTCTAATGAGGTTGGGAGTAGCCGTTTTTCACATTCCCGAGTTCATGCCAATAGGACTGGTGCTAACTTTTCATCTGATGATTATTCTGGTTATGATTTTCATTCTGTAGACAGGGAACCTCTCTCTATGGGTGCTTTGAACTCTAACAAGTCCCTGGAGATGCCAAGTTTTCGTTCTTCATCTCTCAGTACCTCTGAAGATGAAAATAGTCCGGAAGCAATGATTGATCCAAGGGAGGCCACCAAGTCCATTCATCGGCCAACTACAGATTCTCTATCTCCTCCTGCTGGTTCGCCTCTACAAGAGTATTTTGATTACTCCAATAATAACCATGCAGTAAATCGGTTTGGAAAAGGAAACCAAAGCAGTCGCTCAGAGCAAGAGAAGACAAAAGTGGACAAAATGTCATCACGTCAAAATTCATTGAAAGAGGCTGCACTTGCAACGGAGATGGATGTCCATGATTATTCAAACACAGGTGTTTCCCAGGATTCTGGATATGCTAGCCGAGAACATGATCATCATAAATCCAACAAAGGGGGTGATTCATTTTTTGCAAACATTATCAAAAAAAGCTTCCGAGATTTCTCGCGGTCTAATCATACAGATGATCGTAGTAAAATCAGTGTTACTGTAAACGGGCAGCCATTATCTGATCGTGTTGTCAAGAAGGCTGAAAAGCTAGCAGGAACAATCCAGCCTGGAAATTATTGGTTAGTATGCTTTACGATCAGTTGTAACCTTCCACACTATTTATACCTGATGCTCTTTTAGATTGATTTATATCTGAGAGCTCCAATCAACTCCTGATGTAGCTAGTGGATTCAGTTAAATTGCAATTGGCTGCTGTGAATTTCTATTGACCAAATAAAACTGAGTTTCATGCCTACATTCCCTTTACAGAATTGCATTTGTAGTTGTGTTATCTTGCGATTTTGAACTAATTATAAATTTTCTGCTGATTGCTTATAGTGCACTAATCGATTATCTTATGTACAGGTATGATTTTCGGGCTGGATTTTGGGGTGTCTTGGGAGGGCCTTGTCTTGGAATAATTCCTGTAAGTTTTACCATTCTATCACAACCTATTTGTTGTGTTTGCTTATAGACATGAGCTAATCATACTAACTAAATTAAGTGAATGCTCCTGCAGCCATTTATAGACGAGTTCAATCATCCCTTGCCAAAACAATGTTCTGGTGGGGGTACTGGTGTTTTTGTAAACGGTAGGGAACTTCACCCGAAAGACTTGGATTTGCTAGCAGGGAGAGGACTTCCCACAGATACAGATAGATCATATATCATTGAAATTTCTGGGAAAGTCCTGGATGAAGACACAGGAGAAGAGCTGGACAGCCTTGGCAAACTGGCACCAACGTAAGTGTTATTCTGTTCCTAATATTTAATACCAGTCTTCTGTTTTTGTTTAAACTCACTCTTCTCTTTCCTACTTTATACGCAGAGATGATATGTTTTTACTGATTTGCTAAAACACCATTTTCATCATTTTTTACTAGCAACTCAAATGTTCACAGTTGCCTGTGATCTTGAGCCCTAGATTGGAAACAGGTTTCCCAAGATACACATTTTGACTTGGCAATTATTGCAAGATGGTTTTTAGGTTAGAAATAGAATAATCAGAATCTTACCAATCATCATAGATTTACCAAGGGTGAGAGGCATGGTTTTGCAGCAGGCCGCAGCTGATAGTTTGTGAATCATATTGTCGTTCTGTGAAAGGGATATGATATACTAATTATTTTTCTGTGTCTTCGTTGTTCACTATTTATTTATCATTTTTTTGTGTGAAAATGAAGAAAATAAGACAGCTGAAGAGTTGGGTATTTTCTGGTACTAGTGATCTAGGGTACACTTCTGATGTTGTCATTTTTTTTTTCTCATCGAGGAGGGGTGTAGCGGGTTGCACCCAATTCTCTGACAGTAATATTCCTTTCTTTTTTGGATTGGATTGAAATTAGACTAAACTCAAATCGAGCCACTTACACCTCTATTGAGCATACATGGCCATGTATTAAATTTATACCAATCAAATGTTAGCATGACATAGAATATTTAGAAACAACATCCGAAATGTAAAATATCAAGTCAAAGGATTAAAAGTTGCTGAATTTAAAGCCTGATAGCTTCTGTAGAAACGTACAAATTCACGTGGACAACAGGCAAGCAAACCTGCGGATGCTTCACTTCTCAATTTTATGCCCCAAATTGATTATTCTTTCTTTCTCCGTACATTGTCCGAACTTAAGTCCACATGATTGTGTTTACTTCACTTCCCACTATGATTCCAGCATTTGACTTTTTATACATTTGTTCATATTGCATTAAATTTTTATTTATCTTGAAGGACATTCATTTTGCTTGGGCTAATTTTCAACCCGTGCTTTTATGACAATGTAACAGAGTGGAGAAAGTGAAGCATGGATTTGGCATGAAAGCACCCAGGGCTTCTACATAATCAAAACGTAGAAAGAAATATTTTACCGCAGGTTGGAAAAGGTGAATCTTTTTTCATTTGATTCGGAAAACATTATTTGGAACGTGCTAATGGAACAAGCTGGAGATATTTGCAAGTTTAATGAAAATTTTCCATTGTAAGACAAGTTCAAGGGGTTTTGTCCATGACATGAATTTATATTACATATATAATTGTAATTTTTTTTAAATGCTTATAGGTAACAAAAAAAGAAAACTGCATTAGAAGTTCTACGCTTGATATCAGGCAGTCTTAGGAAAAGTAAAAGTAATTGTGCGGAAAGTCATGTAGTGTAGAATTTGATGTGTAAAAAATTGTAATTTATTCCTTGGTCAGCTTGTAGTTATGCGTTTCTAATTGAATCATGGAAATGGTTGGTTTTTTATGATCTGGGCCAAGATTAGTGTGCATTTGTTCTATCTTGTGTGCACGCATTTTGATTAGATGTAACTAAAATCTTATTATTAAGAATGGAAAAAAACTAAACAAGAATTATTGACTTAGTATCAGTGTTTTTCCTAATCCAAATAAGACTCATATTCTGCCTGTGCATATCTCCATTTTGATCTGTGTAATATTGTATGTGATTATAATATTTGGCCATGACTCTTTCTTCATTCCCATCAAATAACCTTGCCTGTTACTTGGCCATTAAGGTAAGTACGGTTAATATTACTTGACGTAGGTGGAAACGTCACACTGTGGACTCGTTAATAGTGCAAATTTATACAATTTCTTTTAGTTAATTAGCATGAAGCGGACCCACACGCTTTCTCACATTTTACTCCAACCATCTGTACTTGTTTTTCAGTTTCATTTGGGTGAGTCATGTTATTGAGTGAAATCGAAAAAAATTCAGCTTACGAGTTGAATACCAAGTGTTTGTTGGTATGTTTTTAGCAAAAGTAGGGTTGAATGGGGACGAGTTTCTGTCGGAGAAAAAACTCACCCAAATCCTACACTTATGCAGTATTCATTTGAATGAATTATGAATTTGGAAAAGAGTGACCGAGTGAATTTGAATATAAATTTTTTTGTTATTTATTTGAGTGAATTTGAAAACAATCATTTGTGAGAATTAGTGTAAGATTTGATTGATATGACAAATTAAAAATATTTGTTTTTAAATTCACTCTCACTTATTTTAAATCTATTTAAATAAACAACAAAAAAAATTATTTTCAAATTCTCTCGAATCTATTCTATCACTTTTTTTCAAATCCATTCAAGTGAACAAAGGATTACATAATCATATTAAAGACTGAAAGCAAATTTTTGTTGTTGTGTTTATGTCATGCATGTCACAGGTATATAGTCAACTAATCATAACTGCACAAATTGTCACACTAAATACTATCCGTTGCACTTTATTAAATTCAGATAGGCTAGTTATAGCCTTTTGCTACACTTTGTTTTCAATCGTCTCTAAATTAATACTATCTGTGTCAGTTCTAACACTTATATTTCAATTTGAAAAATTGATCCTTTAATTTAGGACAAAAATTGACTATTATTTTTTATTTAGAAGACACTCATTTTTGGGAAAAAAATTGAACATTCTTGAGTAAATAAATACATATTAGGCATATAACAGATCCAGTTAAATATGTATTCCTTATCTATATTCAAGTTGAAATTCGTTTAAGTGACTTTCGTTTTTCATTTTGAAACATGCATTCTAAGTTTTCAACATATATTAATGCAACAAGAATTAGCCCGTATTGCATGAATAAAATATATAAATTTTTTTGTTAGATATATTATCTTTATTTTATATTTATTTTTTATTTTTAATTAGTTTGTTATTATTTCTTATTTGTATTTTGAATTTAGTCTATATTTTTTTGCTATAAATAGAGGATCCTATGTGTATAGAGATTAATCTCATATATACTTTTCACTATCTTCAACATGGTATCTAGAGCCTAAGGTTCTTTTGAGGAAAAAAATGTTTGTTGTCTTTACCACTACACTCGTCGTTGTCGGCGGCGGTGCCATCTATCGCTTTCACTAACGGAATTTTAGTTTCGACCGACGATCACATGGTTTTGTTCGTCTCGGCCAACACTCCCCTCACATCGAGGTATAAGCATCATTTCAAGCGTGAGACTAGACATTAATGAGTAGTTCGACAACAACCCGATAGTGGGTGGAATAACATGTCCAACAAATAACAAATATCAATAGGATAGACTCTAACCATAACTTTGATACCATGTTAGGAAGTAAACTTTAAGCCTAACTCAACCCCCACAAGACCTGCTTGGTGAGGTTTGCATCTACTTATATAATATAAATTAGCCTTATCTCTGGTCGATGGGGACTTCCAACATTTTTCAACATTTTAAAAGTGAAGTTTTTAAAGTAGAAAAGTTTTTCAACATTTTAAACTTGTTAAAGATTTATAATTGATTAGTTTAGGATTTAAAAGTTGATTTTAAAATATTATACAAAAATGTTGATTTTGTATAACTCGTTATAAATTTAGACCTAAGAGCAATTAAAATATTTTCGTAACTTAATACGCTCGGCAAAATAAATTTTACTCAACAAAATTGACTTTGTTTCAAAATAATATCTTTAATCTAATTGTATGAATCGAAAATGATTGAAAATGTTTGTTTATATGTAGATAAAAAAGTACATCAGAATATTATTTGATTAACGATATGAGATATAATCTATTTTAATGAAATACGTTTTTTTTATCACTTAATGATGATAAATTTATAAGATGCAAATCACTATGCATGATTGATAATATGTTAATATATGTAGGATTAATGTGTCGTTATATGGACTAAGAAAGTATTTCTGAAATATAGTGTAAGTATTAAATTAGGGAATTTAATAAAATATTCATATTTTAATCATGAACTGAATTAGATAAACAAATATATCATGTAATATATAACTAATGGTTATTTTGTATACTAAATTAAGAGTAAGAGTAGTCTATACTTAATTAAAAGTGTAAAAATCACTTTGTCTGTAAGTAGGAAATATTATCAGAACACTTTAGAATCCGTAAAAACCAGTAATATAGTGCAGCAACACATTTTTCAGTATGATTTTAGTATTATGCAATAGTTAATATTCCATTAAATATTGATTAGTTTTTTATTTGATTAAATACATATTTATATATGGTTTTAATTCATTCGTGTTAGCTCTTAGGATATACTTGGAGATGCCAGAGTTTTACCACTAAGTTATTACTGTTTTACTTAAATGTTTATAATCTGTGACTACATTTTCACAGTTGCTATATCATCTTAAATGAGCCTATATTGGATTGGTTGTTTCCAAGAAACAAGTTGGATGTTTGTAATATTCCGGCGTAGAAATAAAACAATCAATATCTTGCAAATCATTATAAATTTTGAATATGAAAAATTTATTTATAAACATTTCTAAAGAAAAAGTGAAATTATTTTTTCCACATATTAAAATTAGATTATATCGATTTAATCTTTAATATTTATAAAGTTAACTTTCAAAAATTAGTTTCTCCGTAAATTAATTTAAACTTATTTTATGATGATATAGAAATATTTATAAGCAGGTATAAATTCATTTTCATTCAAATTTATTCAAATAAAAGTATTTGTATTGGATTAAATTTAAGTGTATTAAATCTATACTATTTTTTATCAAATATAAATTAAATGAATTCAATTTATAGAGAGTTATATCAGATTGGGTTAGTAAATATTTTAAAAAATTATTTTAGAATTTAAAAAAAATGCTATTTTTCTTTTACCAAAGAATTTTTATTAATCTTCGAGAGCTTTTGGTTGCGAAAATTTCAATACGTGTTTTATTTTTATTTTTTCAATTTAACTGGATGGAGGGAAGGAATCGTGAATTTTGCATGAAAGTACCTAGAGCAGTTACATACTGACTATTTAGAAAATAATAGTAAGATTACTTGAAATTCTTCCATTGTATGAACAAGTTCACGTGATAAGATAATTTTTTATAATTTACAATCAATTTTAATAATATACGACACTTAATTATATTTCATTATAACAATTTCATAACTCTTTTTTCTTTTAATTTTCAAATTTGACTAATAATTCTGATTGAATCAAAATAATATACTCATAATATATATAAAATAAAAACTCATTACAAAATCATTTTGTGTAAGAAATTGTTTAACCACAAGTGTTTTTTATTTTTTAGAGGCTAATTACCAATTCTTTCGGATAAAATTAAATAAAATTATATACGAAAAAATTATAAAACTCATTATAAAATCATTTTTTGTAAGAAATTGTTTAACAACAAGTGTTTCTGATTTTTTCAGTTAGAGCTACGGTAGGGATGACATAGAAAATGTTGGAGTGAGAGAGATGAAAGAGAAAGGGTTGAGAGGAATGATAGACGTGAGTAAGGGTGTAGGGGTTTCTTGGTTTTTTTTCAGTTTTGAGAATGAAAATTATTCAAATATCCTTAACTTTAAAACTTAGAATCCATAATATATATGAAAATATTTTTGTCTACTAAAATTCGGTACACAGTGATAAAATGTATAAGAAAGGTACCCAAGTTAGCAAACCCCGTATATATATATATATATATATATATATATATATGTATATATTATCATTGTTACTAATTTAACAAAAATAAACATATAATAACTATAAAAAAAATTAAATACTACATTTTTATTTATTTTGTAATGTAAATGATACAGTGCATACTTGTTTAATTTTAGTCTCAATTTTTTTTTTCCAAATAACTTTCAACTTATCATCTTACCTTTAGCCCGATCTATCTAGTTATTTTAGGGAAAAAACATACAAATCTTTTCATTACTGCCTTTCTTTCTTTAATCCCTATGTTTTTCTGTATTTTTTAAAACTTACATATAAAACAAATCATCAATTTCATATTAACTATTTAAATCAGTTAACATTATTTAATTTTACTAATTTTAATTCAAAATATCATTTTTCTAAAATATTTTTTTATTAGAACTTACTACGATGAATATTTTTTTTATTTAAAATAGAATGACCGTTAAATATATGATGTTTCAAGAATAATATTATTGAACAAGGTAAGATTAATTAAATTTATTATGTTCAATTAAGTTTACATTTTGTTTTTATCATTTTAGAATATCTAAGTTGAAAGGAGGTGTTCCTCTAACTTATTAGAGTGTATAGTTTTCATCTTTAGAAAAAAAAAAAACAAGATAGAAAATATCCAATTTTGGTACACTCAAAAGCATACCAAATTCATCCAACTTATAAGTAAAACAAAAAGAATAGAAAGAATTGCTTTATTAAGATAATGTGTTTAGATTTCATGTAAGAAATTGGGTTAAAAAATCATTATTATTTTTTAAATAAATTGAAATTTGAAGTG